TGGAGCTGCAGAACGGCTGTGCATGCACACAACGCTTCAACTGCACAGCATCCTGGCGCAAACGCTTGCGTGTTTGCATTTTCACAGAAGCCGAGAACAGGAGGACAGCGGCCATGAGCTCAGGGTCCAGCTCCTGGAACACGGTCCACCTCATACCGGAAATTTCCATTCAAACGTTGATTGAAGTTTTTCCACCAACTGGGAGAGGCATACCTTTCCAAGTTGTTGATAGCGCTGGCGGAAAATTTTCGAATGACGAATGTTCAAACGATGCGCTGGTTGGTAGTACAGAGAGCTGCACTTTGAGTGCTGCTTGCAATTCTGCAAGTACCCAGTGGCTGGCCTCGGCAAGGCAAGAATCGGCACAGGCACCATCCGTCCGGTACAAACTTGCTACCGGACGGGTGGTGCCTGTGCCGATTCTTGCCTTGCCGAGGCCAGCCACTGGGTACTTGCAGAATTGCAAGCAGCACTCAAATGCAGTGAAATTAATACTTTGGGATTTCAGGTACAGGGCTTACCCTCAGCGCTTAGCGCTTGAGGGTCTGACCTGTAAATATGAGAATGGAACATTTCATCTCATATGGGGCCGAGCATTGTGTCGTGGAGCCCAAAATTAACATTGTGGATTAGATCGTTCAAACGCGATCACTTTTCTGGACTTTGTAGCCAGAAGACCTTAATTTCAGGTTAGGTTTCAGCCATGACATTGCCTGTCTCAGGAAATATGAGGCTGATGGTTGCTCCTTCCTGCCTTGGCATTTCTTGTCAAGAAAGTGCAATGATCAACATTTATATGCCTGCAGGGCCATCCCGCTTCAACAAAATGGACACAATCTTGCGGGACACAGCCCTTCATTCACTCGTCGACTGAATGAACGGCTGTGCCCAGCGGCAATTTGCTTAAACTGTGGAAACGGTGTGACTTTGCCGGTAGCGGCCCCATTAACATTGGTCATTACTCCTTCAAATGGTAGTTTTCGCCATTAACTGTACATTCGAAAGCATAATGACTCCCAGCAAAATTGTTACAAAAGCCCTCCGCCGCCCTCTCCCAGCCATTCTGACCCAGGAGCGGTGCGCGATCACCAGAAGTTTCTTGCCCGTCAGAAATTCCCTTGACCTCTCCGCCTTTCGAGCTGGTTCTTTTCCCAGTCCCAGCCAGCAAGGGGCGCTGACCTTTCCCTGCTGCCCAAGGGACAGAGCAGCAGGCGGCTCTTGCCGCTCGCGCGCCTCTCGTCCTCCAGATGGAGAGGACACTGCGAAGGAGTGCTCGGACCCGCAAGGTGACGACATATGGGCTTCGTTTTTGCTGTGGCTTATCCCTTTAATTTTGCCACGCGGCCTGACTGGCTCTGCTCTTACTATGATAACTTTGACCGTTCAGCAGGCCCGCCAGAGGCGCATGTTGCCTGTGCGGCACGCTCGAGTAATGTCCACACAGAGGACGCACGCGATGCTAACCAACGGCCGGAAGAGGAAAAACGAAGGGTGCACGGTGAGGATTGGCGGCAGGGCATTAGCTTTGAATACGCTTTGAGCTTGTTTTGGGTGAATGCAAGTCTAAATCGCTGCAAATGAAGCCATTTTGTCTTTTTTTGGATCACACAGACACTGAACGATTCTCGACTATTTTGTGACGGCTGCGCCTGGTGTGTATCAGGAATCAAGCCGGTCAATCGGCAGGAAAAAGATGAGGAGGTAACGTTTGTGATTGCCGACGGTCACTAGCTCATGATTAATTACATTGTGCATGTTACTCACGCATTTTTGCCCGCTGTTGATGTAGTTTCTTTTTCGTGAAATTCACATTAATTGGTAATTAATTCTTTTTTTAGTGACTTGTAATGCTGTCACAAACACCCTGCAATTTATAGTATATTGGAAGAAGGGGACACTCTGCGAGGCACACCCAGCATAGCAAGCATTGTATGCATTGAACACCGCTTGTTCGACAGACCTGACATTCAAACCACAGCGGATAACTCACAGCAAATTTCTTAGTCCAAAATGATCATGATGGAGATTTGAGGGAAAAAAAAGTGCTCGAAAACTTAAATGGAACATTGAGTTGGAGGAGAAAATGCTCACATACAGCTTTCCAGAACTGTGTGGCTGCCGCATACTATGCACGTTGTACCAAGTATTAGCAGTAGCAATAGTAGTAATAAATCTAATCTGTCCGTGTGGCCTTGCCATTTGCAATAATGTGGCAAGCGTCCACGATCGTCGACCGTATGCAGCGATTCAACGCTCAAGAATCGATCTCGCTGCTCTGAGTCGATATTGATCCTGTACTATCGCGACCGCCAAGCGCGCATGCCCTTGGAAATTTTCATATGCCCGCACAGTGCCATTTTGGCGCGATCGCTGGGCAGCGCACCGCCTTGAACAGCTCCTCCCCATACTCGACTATACTCCAGTATTTTGTGACCGAGAATATGACAAAAGAATTTTTTGTCATTTTACGAGCTTACCAGTGACATACAAATAACATTGACTTCCTGATTTCCATTTTTTGACACACTGATGAGGGAAACCCAGACCAGCAAAGGACAAGAGTCAAAGAATCAATGTTTGTCTGCCATATTCACACAAAACCTGTACAAAGTGCCACAGCTGATGACAAAGTCACAAGAATTTACAGCGCAGTAGTAAAAGACTCAGGCTGGCGCTGTTTGGTCCCAAGGGCCCACCCCAATCAAAATGCAATGCCCTCTGGTGTGTTAACCTCTGCCAGTAAAATCCTTTCCACCCTTGGCATAACAATATTTCGTCCCAATTTGCACCCCAATCAACATCGTTTGTCACCACGCAAATCTTCCAAACTGTCCCCTTGCTGCCACCGCGCAACCCACAGACGTCACAACACCAGTCATAGTACGGCCTCGAAATACTGCATTACCAGACACCATATTTTACTGCACCACCGAGAGCCCTGGCTCAATGCACATCATTAAGTATCGGGATACTCAATGTCCCCAAACCCGAGCAAACAGAGGGGTAACTTCGGTGCATTGCAGCTGTGCAAGATCTTAAAAAAACGACCTGTCACGTCAGTCCTCTGAAGTGCTTGTGTGTGACGAAGATGGCAATTACCAGCTACTGATCCCCAAGTACAAAGTGCTTGCACAAGTCCGCGTCTTGGGCGATTTTGTCCATGGGCACACCGACACGTCGCCCAAAAATGGGCCAACTACTCCCAAACAAATTCTTTCTCTTACCCACGGGGATCAGCTCATTGTGTTCTCATGAAACTGTTAAGGCTTGCATGATACAAATAGAACCTCGCCAACCCATCACAACCACCTGAGCCCTTTGGTTCAAAACCACCCAGGTTTGTCTTTGACCGGATCAGTTTGGAGAGCAGATCAGTGACATGAGGCGTATGAGCTCAAGAAACTCATGTCACTGATCAGCTCGTGGAAGGTGTGTGGATGGTGGAAACAGGAGATGACTGGATGGAAAGCGCTTTGTGTACTCATGAGCACCATAGATCACGGAGAACAGGGCCCCCTCCACGTTCAGCAGTAGGGCTAGCGTCAAGAAAGCGGGGGGCACTATCTTGAGTGAAACACATTATCTTGCACGTCCCCCGCGTTCCACATCAAGTCGACGAGTTAGTAGCGTCATGCCGCTTCCTCACCTGAACGGCAGACTAACTTAGCACATTGAATACCGGTCTACGCTAGGGCCCTAATCACAATACAAGTGTGAGGACGTCACCATAACAGTTGCGCAATTTCCAGCATTGCATTTTTTGGTTTTGAAGAAGGATGTCCCATCATGGGAGCTGCATATCAATTGCTATGTTACATATCCCCTGCGCTGTGCAGCAATGGCCATAGTCGAAAACACAGGAGGTGTTAGGGAAGACGCTATGTCGATTTGTATACGCTTAGTGTCAATTTGACGTTAAGCCCATACACTCCCCCCCACCCCACCCCCTTCACCCCCTTCCTTAGCGTCAATCCTTATGTCGATGCCAGGATGACTCAGCAACCTTACATAACAGAGCTAGACAATTTCAAGGTGTTTTAAAGGAACATAAACTGGCAAAATTGTAGCGGTTGTGATGCGACAAAGAAAGTGATGATAAATGCCGTTTCAGGTGATTGGGGCAGCCCCGGTGGCTGTCTATTTGGGGTAGTCTGGGGTCTTAATTTAGGTTTGAACGCTTGAGGAGGGGTTTGAAACAAGTCACGAGCCGTCTGCCGTGGATCAACAGCATTTTGCATATCTTCAGACATTATGTCGAAATTGCGTCAATTACACATTCTCTTAGTGTCGCAGGTCCCCCACCACCACCACCACCACACACACACACACACACACACACACCTCTTTAGCGTCAAATCGACGCTAAGCGTACCACTTTCGACATAGTGGCTTCCCTTATTCAATGAGCCCCGGCTTATTCAACAACCCTTGCATTTTCCTCCGTGATCCACAGTATAGTGAGCCAATTGAGTCGCCCAACGTAGCAGTGATCTTTATGTGGCGTCACGAAAAAATCACAATAGCATCAACAACAAATCAGCAAAAAATACTCTGCTACATACTATGCGAATGATTAATTAGCCACAGCGAATAAGCTAAACATTTGATCAGTCACCAGTTTATGGATTAGCAGTTGATCATCATTCGCAATCAAACAACTGATTGCCAGCAGTCGCTGCTTACAATTACAGTGCACACGTATGGGGACAACCTGGGTGTGCACCACAATAATGATGATGTTTTGGTTGCTGATGTTTTTGCTCCTTGGGCGCAGTCTGAACAGTGTTCCATCCCGCAAGAGGAAGGGAGAGTCCAACCAGAGCGGGCGCCTCAGCAAAAAGAGGCGAAAGTCCAGTAGCCGATGTTCCCAAGGGCCGCAATGTGGAACCAAGAACAGAAAGCGCACATCTGGTGTGCTGTCCCAGGAGGAGGGCCAGCACACCAGGCGCTGCAAGCACCAGAGGGTCTGCGGCGCCAGTGGGATCGTGGCAGATGGCTTCATGGAGAACGTGCCCTTGGCTGCTCCTGAGAGGGCAAGGGGGCCCAGAAGGAGAGTTAAGAGGGTCCAGGGCAGTGCCCCTGCCACTGAGACGTCTCCTGCTGCGATCGAATCCGCAGATGGCAAGGCGGATTATCACTGCAATGCCCTGGCCGTTGTTGAGCCTCCACAGGAGGCGAAGATGGAGCACCAGATCGGCACAAAGGATGGAATGGAGGAGGAGAACAGTGGTGCACAGAATGAGGCTCCCAACGAGTTTGAAGCGCAGGAGCTCATCGAGGTGAGGGGCGGTTGCAGCACTGCTTGCCTGCGCATTGTACCATCAATGTTGATGTCGGTACTGTGGCACTTGTCGATTGCCTGGGTATCTAGTTTGGCTGACCTTGTGGTGTTCCTGTGGTGAAGGGAGACCTATTCGTCCTCGGTGCTGGCGACATGGGACAGCTAGGGCTGGGGGATGGGATCGACGAGGTGGCCAGGCCCCGCATTCTCTGCCTGCCACTTCAGGTGAGTCCAGTTGGCTGCAATTTACCACGCGCCATCAACATATGATGAACACCTGATCTCGTAAGACAAGCCGAAGCGCTGCACACATTGCAACGCAATGCTGCTTTCAACTGGTTTGATTGTGTTGCATTTGCAGAACTGGGCAACATATCCCGCCCTTCACATACTTCCAGCCCCCAGCTGTGCCTATGTTTACACCCAACCCTCAAACCACAGCAGTGGTGGGCTATTCCAAACCACAGCAACACCAAAAACACGCACTTGTTGGGTGACGCTCAGTCCCCTTACCCATGTGCCGGCCTCAGGTCAAAGTGAGCATGGTTGCCTGCGGAGGACTGCATACCATCGCCCTCACCGTGGACAAGAAACTCTTCTCCTGGGGTATCCATGACGACGGGGCTTTGGGCCGGCCCACCCCCGATTCCGATCTCTGGACGTCAGCCGAGAAGGAGGACGCCGTCGCCGAGAATTTGCCCGGCCGGATGGCACTGACCGAAGGCGGCCGCGTCAAGAGCGTCACGGCGGGCGGGGGCAGCCACACTCTGGCCCTGATGGAGGATGGGAGAGTGCTGGGCTGCGGGAGCTTTCGAGGCGACTCGGGTAGCTTGGGATTCTCCCCAGGGACGCCGAGGCAGCGGACCCTCGTGACGGTGATCCACGGGTCCATTCGGAAGATCTCGTCGGGGGAGAACCATTGCCTTGCGCTGACGACCGGCGGCCAGGTGCTGACGTGGGGCTGCGGCGAGAGGGGCGCCCTGGCTCGCGGCGGGGAGCAGCTGACCCCCGCGCCTGCCCTGTCGCCGGAGGGCGTCCTCACGGGCGTGGAGGGCGTTTTCGCTGGCCAGCAGAATACCTTCGTGACGACGGGGGACGGAAAGGTGTACGGCTGGGGCCTCAACAACCAGGGCCAGCTGGGACTTCCCCCCTGCGATCCCGTTGAGCGTGCGACGGAGATCAGCGCTCTGTCCAAACTGGGAGGGATTAAAGATGCTGCCGGGGGCTCTCACCACAGCCTGGTGCTGGCGAAGGAGGGCGGCCTGTACAGCTTCGGAAGTCCGACGTACGGGGTGCTCGGGCGACCGGACATGAACGTCAGGGGCATCAACGCGGAGCCCCTGCACGAACCGGCGCTGGTGCACGTGGGTGAAGACGAGGACGGCGGGCTGCCCCCGGGGGCCCGCATCTTGGCGGTGTTTGCGGGGCAGACGGTGTCCCAGTGCTTCGTCGAGGGCCACGGAGTTTACGCTTGGGGCGCCAGCAGCGAGATGGTGCTTGGACTGGGCCCCGAGGTGGACGAGGTGTACCTGCCAAACAGGGTGAGGAACGCAAACTGTTTTGTGCAAAAGCGCTGCTTTTGCACGCAAACTTTTACTGTACTGTGGAGAGGGGGGGCTGTCGTATGCTTGCCTCTGCCAACACAATGCTGTTCTTGTGTGTGCAGATGCCTGAAACGAAGATGAGGAAAGGGCGTCCTGCGCTTGGGTGCGCAATTGGAGCCCAGCATGCTGCCTTTGTTTTTGGTTCCCAAGGATGATTTTGTGTTCTAGTGACGCGATTCTGTGGAGAGCACACACTTGTGGTGGAACCCAAAGGAGGGAATGGAGGTATAGCGACCCAGCGGAGGGAATGGTGGCGTTGGGCCATGGCCATGGTTGGACTTGGTGGTGGTCGGCATGGCTGTGGCGGGATTCGGGGGTGGATGAGAATTTTATGAATTTTTATGATTCATGTGCTTAGTGGAAACCAGCACATTTCGCTTGCAGTGCTTGTTCATGTTGTTTGCTCAAAAGATATGTGTTTGGCTCCATCCAAACAAGCAAAGTTCAGAACGTGCATGACAGAAAAGGGAATGGAGGTGTTGCAACCCAGCGAAGGGCAGAGCAGGCGCTACGACAATATGGCTGGATCCCCAGGGTGGCCCGCTGGCCTGGCGATCCGCGCTGGTGCACCCCATGAATTTCATGATCCACGTGCTGAAACCAGCGCACCGCCGCTGGTGTTGTCTGATGGCAGAATTCGCCCGCACAAGCTTCGTCTCATTCAAACAAGCAAAGTCAGAAACAAGGTTATGCACCTGGCAAAAGCAATGGTGAGATGAGCCATATTGCAACTTATCCATAATGAATACGGCAGAAATGCAAGATACCTGAAAGATGAAATAGCCGCTGCTTTGCGCACCGAGAAGTGACTCCCCAGCTTTCACCCGCGAGGGGGGAACGACTGACCCACTTTGCGGTTTTCAGCAGCGCAAATACGGCCCAATTTTCAGTAATCTATCCAGCACCAATCGCATTAGTTTTGTGATGAAGGGGCCAACGCTTCCCATAAAATCTGCCTTTTCCAAAGGTGCCATTTGCCACAAGCCCATAATTGTGCTGATGTGGCACAATGACTAACAACGAGTTTAACACAATTGGTGTCGCCTTTTGGCAAGGGAAGTTGTGTTCGAACTTGGAACTAGACAAGCAAATATGCAAGCCTGAGTTGCATGTCGGAGATGCCTTGCAAGGCTTCGTGTGAGCACCGTTTGGGCCAGTGTTGGGTGCTTGGTGTGTGTCCGCACTTGCTATGAGCACTCTGGGAGAGCGGTTTGAGCCATTGCTACACTATATAACCTCAACAGTATAACCAAGTTTTATGAGGTACACAAAGCCTTTGACCAAGTTTCGCCCAAAAAGTGTCTTTGTATAGCTTGTGTAATGGTTACCAAATGGCTGGTGCTTTTCCTTATGTTGCCCGAGGCAATCTATGTCCATAATTTGTTCAGTGAAAACCAACGTGGTGCACCAACTAAGTCCAGAATCCGCCAGTGCTTGGCTTTGTAAACGATTCTGACAGGAAATTGCCGGTCACGTTATGTTGGAAGAAGTTTTTCTGCAAGAAGGCGAGCGAGGACAAAATTGAAAAGGTGAGTAGGCATTGCTATGACGATAAAATGGTCGGGTGGTAATTGTGCGCCAATGGCATACGTCAAAATGACAATATATAACGATTTTGATACTTTCCTAATAGTTGCCTCAGTGTGGCATATCAACGTATGCATTGCAGCGTTTCTTGAATTAACAAACTATATGTCAATTCCAGAAACTTGGGAACGTTTCATAGCTTCGCTTCATGAATTGATCGTTTGTAACAACTGAAGTGAAATGGTGATGTCAATGTGACAATGTGAATATGGGAGCAACACTGCTGGTGTGGACAACTAATAAGTGTTTCTGGATGGTCATTGGGATTGCTGATAGTAGTTGTGTCTTGAAAAGTATACTGGTAATAGTGAAAATTACTTCCAGGAAAGTAACATTTAATCTACTCAGCGCCAACGTTGATTGGCTTGCTCGGCGGCAGGTCAATTCCGCTCCAACAATCTGCACATTATCTGGCAGCACAGAGCTATTCATTATTTTGAGAAATATTTTGTGTCGAGGCAAGCTGGTAACAGTCAGCCCTTTTGCTTGAGAAAAGCATTGTCATGGTTTGTTCAATAAAACCTAAGGTGGTGCTCCAACGAAAACCAGAATTCATTAATGCCTGTTTTTTCGAAGAGATTGTCGATGACAACACGTTGAAAATGAAGCCTCTTTGTCAGCGGCGAATGTGACAGAAGCAGAAAACACATAATGTTAATTGAATGGCTGCCATCCCTTAAAAGAAAAGGTCCAGCGACAACTTTGCAACTTACATTTCGGCAACCATATCGCAGCCGGATCGGAGGCAGCAGAAGTGCGGCCCAGACCATTTGCCGCAGAAAACCAGAAAGTTACCCCGGCTGTGAACAGTGCCCGATGGCGGGATCCTCCAGCAACAGTGGACGCATCTCGACAGTGTTAGCATCCTCCTCGCGTCGTTGATTTTGACCACTTTTTTTAGTTTGGCGGTGAGGGGCACAGCCTGTTTGCCTGTGCCAGTGAAACGGGAAGTTATATAGCCTGTTAGCGTCCCCGGATCCTGACCGCGTCGCGATGAGTCAGCGGCTGGCCGCCCAGGTCTTTTCAGTAGCGCTGCGCGAAAAGCGTGCCGGGCGTGATAGCACTAGCGAACCGCATCGTACTCCCCATTAATCGACTTTGAACGGCAGGTCGGCGGATCCGCGTCGCGCCGGAGCCGTCCGCAGTTGCTGTACCAGTGATTTAACAAGGCTTCCTGGGCTGATTAACCTCAATAGCCTGGCTGGCAAGCCCAGTGCCTGGGCGTGGCGAAATGGCGGAAGAGGATCGAGCTGGCAGCCGGGGTGGGGCCACTCCCCCAGTCAAACGGATGGCATCCCGGGTGGATCGGCCGGGCCGATCGGGTCAGGCGACCGCGCGGAGGCGCAAGCGAATGGCGCCCTCCGTTCGGGCCCTCCCCGCGGACCGGTTCCGGAAGATCTGCTGATGGGGGTGTCCGGTTTGTCCGTGGACGTGCCAGACAGTCGGACGCGGGGACAATCGGGACAGGGGGTGGCGGGGCCCAGGAGCCCCGGCGGCTACGGGGTTGCATCAGGGCGGGAAGGGGCATTTCCAGCCGCTGCGCCGCCGGGATGGGGCCAGGGGCCGGCCAGGGGAGACGCGGGGACGGTGTCCTCGGCGAGGGGGAGTTATCTGGCGGGAATGCCGACGGAACTCGGCCATGGGGCCCGAGGGAGCGGTCAGATGGGGAGGGCTCCGCCGGGGATGCCGGGCGGGTGGGAGCCGCCGCCGGCCAGGAGGCCACCGGCGGCGGCAGACGGCGCGGGCAGACTGTCTAGGGCGCACGTATCGCACGATGCCGACGACCACTTTCTCAGGTGGGCAGCCGGGCATCACCCTGTCAACTTGACACTGAAGGGACTGACCTGCGGTGGTGACGGGACTTTCCTATGCTGAGTTCCCTGGGCTGGGACTGTTCGGGGGTGTTAGGCCTCCACACTGCCAGAAATGGGTTGCTTGCCCCCATGGTGCGATTTCATCGACATGCGTTGCTTGCAACAACTCGACTGGATGTGGGAAACTAAACACCCTTCAACGCCTGACCTCTTGCCAGGTCAATACAGACATGCAATTTTCAGGATGTTAAGAAAACACCCAAGTTGCCAGAGGTCGTTTCATTGCTTCCGCGGTTAGAATGTTGTGGCACACATGCCTTGCACTGCATCAGCTCAGGTGCGATGCCTGCTTGTGAGGTTCCCTGGATGTGCATTTTTGAGGTTCCGAAAAGCCCGCCTTGGCACCAGAAACAACTTTGTTGCCCCAAAGGGATGATCCAGTGCAGTTCATGGCTCATTAACGATTAGGTTGCAGGCAACGGCTGCACAATGAAGATGTAGCGTCTCTGACCCTTGCACCAACAGCAACTGCAAAAATGTTGAGCGTTCATGCTGAAGTAAATTGCATGGCTTATGAAAACTCAGGTGGGACGTGTGCTGGAAGACCGACCCACTGGATCACAACAATCATGCGGTGTGCGGTATGGCCTATTGCTCTGACATTGAGGGCCTGCCAAAGCTGGACGAGAGCTGCACGGGGTGGCTCATTACCTCATCCTCTTCCCTCCTCAACCTGTGGGGCTGCAACGTGACAGCCGGCGTGGGCGGCGAGCCCTCGCTGCAGCTCCTGCACTCCCAGGAGACGCAGCTGGACAGCCTGGACATCGTCATCGAGACAGAAACTGGCAGCCTCTATGGGGCGTGCTCAGGCGGTCCCCACAACAGCTCCTGCGTGGCAGTGCACTCCCTGTCCCCGACAGAGATGTTGGCTTACAAGTTCCGCTACCCGCTACCGCCACCCGGGGGGGTCGCGGCTGGCACTGGCAGCGTGCAGGTGGGGCACGTGGTGTCCTTGCATTCCATGGGTGGTCACCTGCTGAAGCGCTGTGCAGTGTCATATGCCAACCGGGTCGCGATCTTGGGCTCAGGGGCACCCAATCAGCCACCCGAGAGGGCCAAGGCAGACTTCCCCTGCCACACGGCACCAGTGTCGGTTTTGCAGAAGAGCACCAGTAAGCCAGTCATATTCACAGGCTCAGCCGATGGTGACATCAGCTTGTGGAGCCTGCAGGAGAAGCCATCAGCACCCCTCAGGTACGTTCTTGTTGATTGCATTTGGCAAACATGAGGAAGTGCTGCCCTTTCTCCTTTCTGGCAGGATCTGGAACCACTCATGAATGCAACGAGCATTTCCCAACGCCTTTTTTGGTTTTCTTTCCTCCAGGAGATTGGCTGGGCACCATCGAAAGGTGACGGGAATTGAGCAGGTGGCTGAGCACGCCCTGGTGACATGCAGCATGGATGGCAATGTTATGATCTGGGACCTCAGGAAGCCCGAACAGCCGCTGCACTCTGCCTGCCCAGACGACACACCTGTGCACAAGGTCGCAGCCTCTCCGATCGGCGACTGCGTTGCGCTGTGCACAGCGAGCAACCTTTTCACCATGAGTCTGGTGAACATGAGCGGCACACTGCACAAGATGTCTGAAAGGCCACTCCCCGGCCCGTACAGGAACCTGGCTTGGAACCGTCAAACCTTAGAGGTGTATGCAGCGTGTGCAGATGGATCCATCACTGTGTACAGAAGTGCCGTCTGAGCTGCAAGCCAGCGGCAGAGAAATGATACTGACGTTCACACGGGGGAAATTGGCTTAGCTTTGTAGCTTTGGGTTGGCTGGGATTTGGGTTTGCAACCATCGAGCTTGTGGGGCGCCAGAATGGCTTTGGGGCCACACTGCCCACACTCGAGGCGAGTATGGGGTGCACACTTCCCATGTGTACCATGGGCTACCGTGAACTTGACTGCAGCTTTTCTAACAAAGGCATTGGTGTTGAAATGCACTGTTCAGGTGCTGGATACTGAAACACCACAGCATGCGTTGGCTAGGATGGCTGGAACTGGTGAAGATGGGGCTTGTCAAGTGCACAGAAGGCACCACCCTGTTGCAGGGACCATCCACACTGAAAGAGGGACTGCACAACGGCCTGGAAGGGGCAATGCTGTGCACCAGATGAGCATCCGGGTTTGAGGGGAGGAATGGCTGAAAAAAGTGTCATTGTTGCAGCGTGACTGTGCCATAAAATCTCCATGGATACCAGCCAATTGTGGGTGCGGTTGACAATCAAAAGATGCGGCAGCTGTGCTTGTCCCTTGAAATTAATGTGGATCACAGCACAGCAGATTCTGCGGCATCAACAACATTTGTAGCTGTCGTTGCAGCCCTTCAGCCCAACATTCTTAATCTGGGGCTCCGGACACAGGCATCCCGCCAAACGAACGTGGCCGTGAGCTAAAGAGCGCAGGAAGGGCAATCGCCAGGAATATGTCGGAGCTCCAACGCGTGAATTCAGGCACGCCGGGAATTCCAAAGCACAAACGCACAGTGAGCGCCCACAGAAACCGGGCGCTTAGTAATGCGCAGAACGCAAAAACTCCGAAACGCGCTCGGCGCCCCCCACCGCACCACCCACCGCGCACGCCGGGCGGCGAGCATATGCTGGCATCCGACTCGGAACACAACATTGACATCCCGGCTCGCCCTTCCCCTCCTCGGGCCCAACTCCCGCTTTGCGCCCACCCCTTCCTATGCCCCCCATGGCGCCGCCCACCCTCGCGCTGCTCTCCCTCTGGGCCGTGCTGGCCGCGTGCTCCGCCCAGGACGACCCGATCGGCGCACTGACCCCCTCCGATCTGGAGGCCGCCCGCCAGACGCCGCAGGGCGTTTTCAACGTCTCCGCCGTGACATGGAACCCGTACAGGGACGCCGTGATGGACGTCAATGTCACCGGCCCAGTGGCTTCCGGGGATTGGATCAGGGTCTCGTTCTCGGGCATCCCGTTTCCCGACCCCCACGGTGAGGCCCGCCGGGGCTGGATCGGCGGATCGCGCCCCTGCACCGAGGCGGAATTCTCGATCGATGGCCGTGGGATGAAGGATTGGGGCTTTGACGGTGGGATGGGGCGCGTGTGGCGCAGGGAAGGACTGGGTGGCGCTGTACGTGCCGGGGGACGCCGACCCCGCGGAGGTGTCGCCGGTCAAGTACAGGAACGCGAAGCACGCGGAGGGGTACATGGACACGGGCGCCGGGTCCCTGGAGTGAGTGCGCGCCAGAGGCAGGCATCCCGTGATGGGACGCGGCTGGGCTCCTGTGGAGGGGGCAGCGCAATGTACGGAAAGCGTTCCGGATACGGACCACCGATACGGAGAAGGAGACGGTGTTGGGGACCCAATGCGTACATAACCCCCAAGCACCCAATCCTGACCCGCCGCCATCTCCGTATGCGTGGTCCATGTCGGGAACAGCTTGAGTTTATGGTCCAGCGTGGGTGCTTTGCAGGCGAAACTGTCCATTCGTGAATGACCACTTTGTGATCCATATTTCTGACCCGTAGTGTACTCAAAATGTGAAGTATGGTGTTTTGCGAATTTGGACGCGAGCGGCGTTGCGTAAGCACTTGCTCACGAAATCGCGCTTTGCCGTGGGAGGCTGCGCTGACGTGGAGCGCTTGCCCTGTGTTGTGTCGCTATGTACTGAGTAGTTGCAGTAAGTGTCGAAGCAGTCATTTTGCGGCCTGTGTTAAGCTGAAAAAGGGAAGAATGGAGAGCAAGACTGCGACTGTGGCAGGCACGTGTGGATGTGCATGGGCATGACCCGCTGCAAAGCTAGATATGAAGCTCATTTACCCTGTGTTGACCACTACACGCTGTGCTTTTTCTACGTAATGCGTCGCATCAGTTTTTCCAACTCAAAGTTTTATTCTGAAAGTGCTTATTTCCAGTTCTTGTGTTTTACTCAGGGAATTGGGTCATATCTTCTCTTGCTGCTCAGGTGGCATCCTGACTTGCGTTGTCTGTCAATGCAGCTTCATTCTTGAGAACCATCGAGACACGATGCGATTTTATTTCATGCGCAAAGCTCCTGGGGAGCCATTCGTGGCGGCGAAAAGCCCACTCATCCAACTTGCGAATCCAAATGCGCCGATGCAAGTGCATCTTGCATTGACGGCAAATCACAGGTGATGATTCAAAGCAGAGTGATTGTCTCCAATTAGGACCACGTGTCCAGCTAGGATCAGGTCAAAGTGCACAGCGTGCTGCATAAATTGATGTCACATCAAAATGCACAGCGCTGTTTCCAGCATAACGTCAATTACAGTGCTAATCTTCTGTGCACATGTTCTGGGCAGCATTTGTGGCATGCGCCCTTTTGGATTGCTCAGGACCCGGGTCAGAAGTGGTGTTCTGCTTTTGAACAATTTGTGGGCTCGCTGGAATGATTGTCGCTCATAAAAAATCACCCTTGGGAAGCTTCATGGAACCAACGTGATGTTCGCTATCCCAGTGAAATGAAGATTCAGTGGGTAACCAAGGACACGGGGTCTCCTGCAGTGGAGTGGGGAACGTCTCCCGGCCACTACACATCACGGTCCAAAGCGACAAGCACTACATACACAAGAGATGACATGTGTGGCCCACCAGCAAACACGGTGAGCATCCATCAGTGCTGGGAGAAGAACCACGACAGACGCTGAGATCATAACTCCTCCGTCCAAGATTAATTGTGGTCTGTGAATTTGGGGCTCTAATTCTACACCGCACCTACATCAGTTTTCAAAAAACCATCACCCAGAGTTGTACTTATAAGTTTGGATCATACGATCAAAATTTGAAGCCAATCCATTAAATATTGAGGACTTGGCAGTACTTTGTCCCAAGGGTATTTTTGCCCAGTAAACCTCGATATTCGGGGTCAAAAATAACCAAAATGTATTTTCCCCCTAACGCTCAAAGCGTTTGTGTCTCACTTGCTCTTTTTGAAAATTGGCAGTTGAGGGTTTTGAAACCAATCTTTCCAATTTTGAACTTGCTTTGCAATTTGGAGGACGTCCTTTTAACGAATTTTGTCTTTCAAATAGAGGACAATTAATCTTGGACAGAGGAAGTACAATCCAATGGGCAACTTGCTTCTAAGCAAGAAATGCAATCAAATGAATATCAAATATTATTTTAAATTCAGCAACCAAAAGTTATGTTGTGAGAGTATTCTTCCATGCCATGAAATGTGATGTTGAAATTTTCATGTGCGGGAGAGGACACAACACAAAGTAGCACAAGTAGCATTAAGGCCGTTGTTTGGACTGAGGAACCACTCTGCACTGATGTACTACCAATACACAGATGGCCACTTGCAATGTTGTTCTTGGCATGTGAACGTGGTTGAGGACATCAAAAGGATCATATCTCAGGTGCTCCAGGTAGTCAGTATATTTCGTGGCCCCATGCGATGCATTTCAAGCTGTTGGTGTTGGATGCTGGCATGCTGTGGCAAGCACATGTTGTGCTGCTGTACATGACAGAGACACGCATTTACTCCTCATGCCACCACCAGCCATAACCATGGCTCAAATGGTATCTTGACCAGTACCAACACTAAAGCGATGTTGGCTCTGAGCAAGGCGTAAAAGGAAGTCGTGTCCTTAGTGAATTTACATTAATTTGCAAGTGTGCTTGGGTTTGTGTTTAACTTATAGTTGTGTTCCATGGTGATAGTGCTTTGATGAGTGCAAATAATACTCGCAGCCCAATGTTGCCTGTCTGTCCTGCCGATTCCTGAGCTATTATTTGTTCATTTGTTTGTTGTGATGTGGATCGTGGATTGCAGACAGGGTTCATTGATCCTGGAGTTTTTCATGCTGCAACTGTCACCGGGGTCAAACCACTAGAGCAGATTTACTACCGGGTTGGAGACGAGGTGCGTGAATGCTGTGAATGTTGAAAGCTCCTAAGTCTGAAGAAGAGAAGCATTCAGCACAACGCTCAGTATGCACCTCCGAGAACATTCGGGATCAGGGCTGAAGTCCTATGAGCACTCTTGTGATCAAACAGTCCGCTCATCCGTCCATCCGGCCATCCAGTCGATTGATCAATTTGTCAGTCGGTCAGTCAATGTCCATCGATCTTTTCGATTATTGGATTGATCAATGAATACTTCAGTTAGGATTGCTGGGATTGATGCGGAGGCCATCAGCAGTGAAGGCCAGAGCGTCTGTGGTACTGTGCAGCTCAGAACAGGAGTGTTCTAGTGGTTCTCTCTAGATGCAGCGCCTTGATATATGCGCAGCCACTGGAATGCCAATGTAATATCCTCATTGTTGCTCGTTTTCCACAGTATGATGAATCGCGGCTCTTGCAGCCACTGATAGGGTGGATGATTAGCAAATGCCAATTGTGGCCAACGTCGTATTATATTGGATCCGATCTGGGCACAGATCGGAACTGGACGATTCCATGTTTACGCCATGAGTACATTCCATGGCATGTGTACATGCTGTTTTAGTGCTGCTTGGAAGTACAATGTGCTCTATGCTGTGCGAAAAACAGTGTATTGTCCATATTGGTCGCTTATTGCATGCCGATTGTACAAAAACGATTGCTTGTCTGGAAAATCTGCGTGTAGGCCAGCTATTTGTGCACATGCAGGTGTCTGGGTACGGCCCAGAGCATTCCTTCATTGCGCCACCACTGCCAGCCGCATCTTCCAGCGTCATTTTCGCCGTTCTTGGCGACATGGGGCAGTCTGAGGTGGACAAATCCAACGAGCCTTACCAACTGGACGCGTCCCTGGAGACCAGCAGCCGCCTGGAGGCCGACGACGACCTCCAGCTGGTTTTGCACATCGGGGACCTGGGCTACGCATGTGGATATGTGGCACAGTGGGACAGGTTCTACGCACAGTTGCAGCCCATAATCTCGAGGGTGCCGTACATGGTGAGTTTTCCACAATGGCACTATCGCATCGCATGATTGTTTCTTGGCGCTTTGTTGGTGTTTGTGCATGATTGTCTTGCTTCCAGAGCAGTGCGTCATACTTCAGTGTCCAGTTGCCACCCCCATCCTAACACAAGGGCTGCAGGCGTTGTGTGAATGTACTCTATGAATGTCCCCTGCTCTTAGGGGGCAGGTGTAAACTGCCGCGGGTAATGCGCGGCCCAGGATCCCGTGGCCCATTTCTGCTGCACTTCGTGCCTGTCATCATCCCATATGTGTCAGGGTTGCCCGGGTGCTTTTTTCAGACTTTGCCATCAAGAGGTTTGGCAACTTCCCCGTACTGCCATCAATATCAGCGACCACGCAACCCACCGGCACGTCACAACTCTTCTCGGACCCTAGTTTTTCCCCTTTGGCAGAATGCTGTGCGTCAGCATGCTCACTTGTGGCATGGATGCTGACGCGAGCAGACGTGCCCCGGCAACCACGAGCGCGACTACCCCAACAGCGGGGACAGGTGGGGGTCCTCCCACTCGTCGGGCGGCGAATGCGGCGTGGCCTACGCACGGCGGCAGCAGATGCCCCGTCCTGGCGACGACAAGATGTGGTACTCCTTTGATTTCGGCCCGATTCATTTCTCGTGATGAGCACGGAGCACGACTTCGATCTGGGCTCCGAGCAGCATGGGTGCGTTGCGCCAATTCATGCGACCGAAGATGGCATACGTCTGAGAGATCACCCCCACCCCACCCCCACCCCCCCGGTCCTGTTTTGATAACTATTTGATATTCTGGGTCCTTGTATCCTCTCGGAAGGTGCAGGGCGAGTACACCTACAAGTGCAGTAGGTGTTCTGGGCATGCCAGTACTACAAATATTTCAAAAGCTGTGAAAATTCCCAACGGCGCAGCGTTCCTATTCAGCAATCCACGGCAGCACGCTGGTGAACCGTGGCAGCAAAATTGAGTGAAGACTACAGAATGTGGTAGTTCATTCTGGTGGCTTTGGCTATACTCGAGTGCGGCCAGAACCTGTGAAAGAAGTTCGTGTTGCGGTATGCGAGACACGAACGCGAGCTGTGCGAAATGGGCAGCGATGCTGACAGTATTCTCCTGTCGCAGCTTCATCGCCGATGACCTGAGGTCCGTGGACCGCACGAAGACGCCCTGGCTGATTCTGAGCGGCCATCGGCCGATCTACGTAAGCTCCACCGATGATGGCCCTCCCGATGGCCACCAATATGTGTCGAGGCTGCTGAGGGCAGCGCTGGAGGACCTGCTGATTGAGCACAAGGTGCAGGACTCTGAACTTGAATTAATGTTTTCTAAACTCGAGCTAAAGTTGATTCGCATGACGGGAGGTTGTGGCGCCCTCAATTTCCAATGGCGGGAAGGGGGCCATGAACTCATAGTGCCACGGGACTGTGAAGGCTCGATTTTGAAATGTCTCGCCTGTGTGACGCTGGCGACATTGGCGCCAAAATGATGATGAAGATTACGCGAACTGGTCCATTTCAACCACTGCGTCTACTGCAGATATTGCTTTCGTACGTTGTAAATGTACATGACTTTGCTCAATTGAACGACGCTTGAGCTCAGAATATGATTGTACGCATTTCCTATTGCTTTGGCACTTCAGGCTGGTGCGACCCGCGAATTTCAAGTCATTTACTCCATCACACTCGAGCAGCGATGCCGTTTGCGGCACAGCACCAGGCTATTTGGGTCCAGGGCCTGTTTGTAGCAACCAGCAAGTTAAGTCAAAGAGAGTGCATTTGATGGCCTTATACTACACATGACGTAATCGACAAGTGGCATGCAGTGTGCGGAACATGTCTTAATTCCCCTTGTTGAGCCAAGCAATGGCCATCCAACGGACACGGTTGGTGCACGGGCCGATCTCCACACGTGGGGATGATCACACTTTCTTGAAGGCGCACGCAGGTGGACGTCACTTTTTGGGGTCACCATCACAGCTACCAGCGCACCTGTCCCATGTACAACGGCAGCTGCGTGGGCTTCGACGACATGGGCCAGGCGCTGGGACCCGTGCATATCGTCGCGGGGAACGCCGGCGCCCCCTTGTACATGAATGAGCAATTCGACACGCCAGACTACTTCCAGGTGCGCTGGATACGGAAAGGAGCACATGGCATTTAGATTTTGGCAGACGGAAAGGCGTGCTGCAGCCGGCAACGCGCATTGCGAGTCCCGCTGCCCTCCTGAGAAGTTTGTGCCGCTCTTTTCTTTGCTGTTGCGTGTGATGCTGAAGTGGGCATTTTGGTGGCAATGCCATGGGAGCATCCAGGACGATGAATGAACGCGCTTGCAGTCAGCCGACAGAGACGGCCTGTTGCTGTCTTCGTCTCATATGCCACACAATTGAATCACAGCTCCACGGAAATGAGCCGCATAACGTTGGTCCAGCGTGCGCATCACGGCACAGCGGCCGTTGATGTGCTCTGCAAGTCGGCACTGAGATAGATGAACCTGGCTTAATTCCTTATAGGGCATTTTCATTCGCACGACCGAAGTTGTGCATTGCACTCTGTGGGCAATGGCGGAAGTGCGCACGTGTCTGTCGTTCTCAACCACATCTATCATATGTGTACGCATCAAGTATCTAGCAAATAGCCCTTTGTAGCTGAGTGACAGCGCCAGTCCGGAAATTGATTGCTTACACAACAGGGTGAAAAACCAGGGTACCCATAATGTTATTGATTCGATCAACGCGTGAGTCAATGACGTAATATGAATGTCATAATAAAGAGTAGTATGAGGTGACATAGAGCGCGTTGATGGAATGGCCAGTTGAAACTCAGAGTAGATTTGCATGCATTCTTTGTAGTTAATCGTGTTTGCTGTTCAGCGTGCGGAAAACTTGCCGCGCTTAAGCACGGGGATCCTTTTGGCTTGTGCCACACCCCGACATTCAGGATGTATGCTGTGGGCAGACGAGGCACCGAAAGCTGACACCGATATGCGTTCTCCTACAAATTCAATGTGGTCCATCTCCCAGCAGCAGACGCATGGAGGCCGCTTTGAGCTCTTAGAGGTCAGGGTTTGTCCTCCAGGCGCATCCTTACGCCAATGTGTGTGTGCTGTTGGCCTTGACAGAATATCATTGTGGAGTATGGCTACCTGCGTGTGACTGCTGATGCCACCCAGCTACATGTACACGCAATGAGCAACAAATACGGCTCAGTCATGGACTCTGTCACGCTCAGAAAGAGCGAAAGCTGGCACAGGGGCGGGCGCGTTGAGCGCGGCAACGGCGGAAAGAGCGAAACAGGCAAGGCCCTGGATGAACGTTCTACAGCAGCTCGGAAATTTTAATTTAATTGAAATTTAATTTTGATTGTAATTCTAATTTGGTTGCGTTTTCGTCCTGTTGCTAATCAGATTGTGCGGAGGCTCGAAGCTGACTAGCACTGCGCACTGGGCCTCCCCCCCGTGCTCGTTGACCTACCACATGAATCTGTCATTGAGCCCGCATTTCAGCGATTGCCAGATTCGAAATGCACGCCCTGCGGAGGAGAGCTGCCTATCGATAAAAGCTTCGCAATGCGCCTGTTGCAGACTGCGTTTTGATTCCAGGTGCTGCGCAATGGATCACATGAAATGTTGCGCAGTCACAGAAGCATGCCGTGGGATGTTTGCCATCCCAATGCCGTCGTGTGGCTTCATTCTCAGGGCGGGCGCAGATGAACGGAGGAACTGTGGCGTCCTTTGTAGGGCCTGCTGATTTGAAATCGGGCGCCGTCGGGGCGGATTCCCCATCGGAGAGCTGCATTCGTCCGTTTTTGTGTACAACTTAGCCAAGGTGCACGCGGCTGCGGCCGTGCCTCGCATCCAATCGGGACAATCGTGGGGGCGGCCAAATATTGGCCGGTATTTGAAGATGCGAGGCACCTTGACCACCTCGGACGTCATGGCTTCTGTACTTGGGTACATTCGCCCAGACGGGACCGCGAAATGGACAAGGCATCTCAGGGCGCGCTGAAGCCAAATTGATGCAATTCTGTTGTACTTTTACTGAGTTTGGAACGATTTTTGGTATTGTGATGTGGACATTGTCGGGAAAACTTATTGAAAAGTGCTGAAACCTAGGGAAAGTGACACCATTGTTTCTCGCCAAGCTCACCAATCCGGATCAATGAGTCCAATGTAGAGCTCTGTAGTGTGTCGCAATGCAGAAGGGGCATGCCTGAAACGTTAGGTTGTGTCTTGGAAATACATGGGACAAAATGATCTTGGTGTGTTCAATTCTATTTTTTAATTGGTTTGCAGTGAGAGAGACCTGTTTCCCTATGTTGTGTGTCACTGTGTTGCGCTCACTCAATCAGCCAGCCGCGCCAGCAGCAACAGCATCAAACGAGCCAGGCTGTCGAGCTGCTTATTTTCTTCAACTGCCGCTTCGGAACTATCGATGCGCTATTGTGGGCATACACATAAACACACCACGCGGTGGCCACCCTATTTTCGCTCATCATGGGTACTGATATTCTCCATTTTCGTTGAACCAACTTTCGATATACGCTCCTCATGTTGCTGCGAAGCCGTTCTCATTGCCCGAAATATCTCCAACCTCAACTTGCTCCCGCTTTGACGCACCGGCATTGATGGAGTATCCATGGCACTCTGGAGGCCCAATTTCTGCGGGATGGGGGGGGGCAACCAGCATCATTTCCGGGACCATGTAGACGATGAGTCAGTTGACGTGCGCTTGCACATGGTTTGGTTTCTGATGTGCAAAATCGAATCGTTTAGGATCATCCCGGTATGTGGTGAATTTTTGAGCATTCCGTCATTGAATACACTGATATTGATCAGGGAACAACGTTATGCGCACTGCATGCCATGGAATCTCATTGCCGACTCGTCGGAGCAGTTGTGCGAATCAACAAAGGACAGATTCAAGAGAATGCACGTTGGACGACGGACGGTGCACACATTCAAGGGCTGGCACAGGATTTATGGCAGCATTTTCGCGACGAATATTCGTGGCCATTAATGGAGCCCACTATGGTACAGTGCATTTACAATAAATCCGCGTGGCCCTGCTCATATCAAGCGCCACGTCAATTACACATTATATTATTCCATTCTTTGTCAAGATAAGAAAATATGATTCCGTACACACCTTCGTCTGATTTGTCCACGCTCTTAACAGAACAGGTTCATGCGAGCATGTGCATTCATCAGCTTCGAAGCTTATGAAGGCACATGCTCCCATAAGCACACGAATCCCTATAGCCATTCCCTTTCAGACCAGGCGCGGCCGGAACTTTAGCCTTGGACGCACACCGGGTGGGCGGCAGAAACAGTTTTCTTCCCAGCAAGGGAGCGGCCTCGCTGACGGCAACGCGTTTCTGCAGGCGGTTCGTTTAGATCACTTGCAGATTGCGGCGTCGTGCCGGGCATGGGGATGGCCATAGCCATCGTCGCTCGTCGCGCAGATCATTTCCGCCGGGCCGGGCTCCTTGTCCCACCCAGGTCCACACACACACTGGACCAATACATTACACGACATTGTTTGTCCCAATACAACCCGAGGTACCCACAACTTAGTGTGCCCAATCGCTTCGCTAGTAGTTAAGCGAGTCCCATACCAGACTCAACCCTTGAGTCAGACCCACCACACCTCATTCCATCGTGCTTAACTCCCACACTTGCCCAAATCAACCGAACATCACCCTAATAGGGGGGGCCGGGCGGGAAGCGAAACAAGATAAGGTGGGGACCGAGGGGTGAGCCTAAGTAGCCTCCCCGCTCGCGCCCGCCAAAGCCCGCCGCTCCCAAGGGCGCCAAAAACCACTGGCCCTCCTTGAACGCCACAGACCAGCCACTGACCCAAGGTACAGGGGGACAGAAACCCCAAGGGGCCGCCAAAACCATGATACTTTAAGCAGCGCTGTCCCAAGTGGGCTAGCGCGCCCGCCCCTCGTCGCCCTGGGCGGAAACCACTTAACAAGATAGTTAATCCCATTTCCGCCGGGCCGGGCTCCTTGTCCCACCCAGGTCCACACACACACTGGACCAATACATTACACGACATTGTTTGTCCCAATACAACCCGAGGTACCCACAACTTAGTGTGCCCAGTCACCCTCAAACACACTGCGCTCCTCCGGAGCAGAAGATGTGGCCATACCTGTCATGCAAGTCCCGGGCGGTAATCGTCATCCACCCGAAAAGGCGATAGTCCCACTCTGATGGGATGCGATACACATCGATGTACCGCCAGAGGGCAGCGCCCCGCCAGTCGCCCCAGTGGCGGATGCGCTGTTCGGGCACCTCCAAGGCGAAACAGGCCGACGCCCCACCCGCGCGTAGACCATGGTGATCGAAAGCGCCAGGGTGCAGGTCGGGAGAGGAGGCCAGGAGGTCCCGAAACCAGGAGGAAACCGTGCGGGAGGACGGGTCGCGTTCGCCCGGGAGAGTGTAGAAATGCGTCGGCGTCCCACCCGCATCCGCCCAGGCGCGATCCCGAAAGGCGCCCCAACGCAGGAGTAAATTCACCAGCTCGGGGGCGCCCTGCGAAGGCCAGGAACGGAGGCGGACCGCCGGGTCCGAATCGGGCTTGAGCTTGGTCTTGCGCTCCCGGAAGATCACAACGCCATCCGTCACCCGCACGTCGTCCAACAGAATGAAATGGCCGCTCTGGGCCCGATTAAAGAAAACGAAGTCCAGCAGGGCGGAAACCGACGCCCGCAATAGGAGGAGGTCGTCGGTGTGTAGGCCGCGCTCCAGAATGCGGAGCATCAAGGTGGCCGGCACCAGAGCATGAGAGGCCGCAGGCTCCGGGCATTGACGACGCCAGGACCGGGTGAGCAAACGGGTCACCCTGTCGAAGGCGGAAAACTGCAGATGGCCGGCGACCTGGTGCACCATGGAAATGGCGGCCAGGTACTGCGGGAGGCTGCGGACGCCCACCCGACCCTCCTCCCGTAGAAACCAGATGTAATGGTAGATCATGGCCGGGCGGGCGGGGAGGGCCTGGAGCTCCACGGAGGCACAGAACGCCTGGAACTTGGCAAACTTGGCCTGCATGGATCTCCGCGTTGACTCCGTGTAGAAAGACAAAAACTGAGACTGCATCCATGCGCAGTCCGATTGCAACATGCCGTCGACGTCCAGCCCGTAGAGGGGGTGATCAGTCGGCATGGCCTCCACCGGAAGCGGATCATAGGGGGAAGCGCGACCTCCCTGGAGGGTGACCGAGCGCCCGCCCCTAGGGAGGCTTCCGAGGGCGGACATGAAATGCCCGAAGGTTCCACTTCGGCGGAGGAAGACGGGCCGGAAGAGTCGGATCCCCTGGGCGAAACATCCCCGGATGGCGGGGAATCAGAAGGTCCTCCGCCGCAAGAGTCCGGAGCGGCTGAAACCAAAGCGCGCTCGGCCAATCCGGTGCGACGACGACGGCCTCCACGGCGGGCCGAGCGGCGAGGAAGGAGACGAGCCAGGGAAGGAGGCACCAAGGGGGGTTGCACCAGTTGGTGTCCCCCGTCCAGTCTTGGAGAAAGGCATCCGTCCCCGCGCTCCCCACGTCCGCGTGCAGGCTGTTGTACCTTGGGCAGAGGGAATTCGCCGCGGAAGCAAAGCGGTCGCATGACCGGCGACCGAAGCGCTGAGTCAGGCGCTTGAAAATGGCCGGGTGCAGTTGGTAGTCGTCCGCCTCCCGAACCTGGGACAGCCTGTCCGGTATGACATTGTCCTCCGACCGAATATAGTTCGGGTCGAGCAGGAGGTGGCGCGCCGTACAGACTCGGTGCAGCTGACGAAGGGGGGTGAGGAGCTGCTTGGAATGGGTAGTCATGCTGCGCAGGCAGTACATGACCACCTAGTTGTCGACCAACAGCTTGAGCCTCGAAGGAAGGCCATGGGAAGCAGCCGGAAAAAAGCTGAGAATGGCTCGCTCCACCGCCTGCATCTCACGCACATTGATGTGCGTTAAGGAACGGTCCCAAAACCCCCTCGCGAGGAGGGGGCGGGACCTCGTCGGGGGAGCAAAGGTGGCCCCCCAACCGGTCAGGCTGGCGTCCGTTGCCAGAGTATCGGCGAAGGGGATTGCGTCGGGGTTGAGTGGACGGCCTTCGCAGCGGCGGATGTTGACCCACGCCTCCAAGTCCAGCCGGGCTTGGGGGGAGAGGATCAAGCGATCCCGCCAACTGCGCTTGGAGCGAAGAACCGCGTAGAGGCTTTGCAAGAAAAATCGTGCCAAAGGAAAAGCCAAATAAAGGGAAATGGCGAGGCCGCAAAAACGTGCCAAATCCCTTGCCACAACCCAGCGGCTGGATCGCAAAATGCGGGCCTGATTGGCGATCAACGTGGCCTTGTCCGGAGGAACCTCAAAACGGCCATGGGCCGTGTCCACAATCACCCCCAAATGCTTCTTGCGCATGACCGGGGTCCATTGACACTTCCGCTCCTTGAATTGGAGGCCCAGCGAGGCAAACACACCCCGAACCAATTTCGACCATCGAGTCAAACGTGCGGCATCATGCATGGCCGCCAAAAAATCATCGAGATAAGCCAACAAAATGGCTGGCGGTTCCCTAGTATACACGTGAAAGTATGTAGCTATTGAGTCATCCCCGGCTAGGCACCCAAAACGGAAATGGCGAGCAGCCTTGGGGCAACTGCCCGGGGACCTCAAGAAACGACCCACAACAAGCATCAAATGGGTGAAAAAGAAAGGAGCCAACGAAAGGCCAAAAGGGAGAGCTCGACAAGCGAAAACTTCATCTCCCATCCGAAATTGGAGAAAACATTCCTCCGATCGACACACGCGAAGATGATGATAAGCATCTTTGAT